GATTTTCTCTTCATAAAAATCTGTTCCAAATTGTGCCAAAATTACAGACTTTGGGCTATACGTCAAATTTAAAATTGTGTTGATAAATAAATACAGAACTTTATTTTTAATGTTCGTCGTATTTGAAGTGGAGAGGAACATCGAGCAGACTAAACTGGAGTAATCCCCAGTCAATCTGCCTGGTGGCATTAATCGTCAAGTGCCAAAATGTAATCGATTAATGTTTTTCTGATGATTAATTGCACACGATACGATTATGCCCATCCCTAGGTGGCAGTAAAATAAACCCAATATTTAATCCATCTCCATGTCTATTGATAGGAGCTGAAAGTCAGAGGTTCTTATTAATATCAATCTGTTCGTTGTGTAGTTAATATTTTAAACAGGTAGTTGCTTGGAACAATGACACGTTACAAATAAAACTAAATCAAGAACAAATATAAAAGTAAAATTCTCCTCTAAAGTCATTATTTGGGATAAACTGTCACCTCAATTTCATTAACTGAGCCATAGCAGTGAGTTTAAAAACAGGATGATCAAACTAGAATCTTTGTCTAATTTAGTTATTTAATCAAGTGTTTTTATGTATGTAAAAGTATGTTTAGGAACCTGGTAAATTACAAATACAAGCAGGAAACCTCATTATCTGAGCCACAGCAGTGAGTTTAAAAACAGGAAGATTCAACTAGAATCTTTGTCTAATTTAGTTATTTAATCAAGTGTTTTTATGTATGTAAAAGTATGTTTAGGAACCTGGTAAAATACAAATACAAAAAGTGCATCTACTAATTTCAAATTTTTCTGGGGGAGGACCCCCCGACCCCCCACAAATGGCCCCTCACACACATTACAATGCTTCTGATGCTCTTGGTTTAATGTTTATGTTAAATTATTGCACCACAGCAGAAACATTTACTTTGTTGTTGRTGAAGTGTGAAGAAGCAGGTTTTGGTCRATGACTGGTATATTTAAACAAATAACAGTTTCAAAATATATTGCTARTGTTKATTGGAAAGATGTTSGTTTMATAACTTTCATTGTTATTTATCCTTAATTTCAAATAATTGTACAATGGGGTTTTCATTCACCCATAGGCTATTAAGAGAGTAACTACTTGAGCTCTATGTATAAACCCATATTACACAAAAATAACTTGGAGGGAAATCATTTGAATGCTTTGTCCCCCCAGTTCAAAAATCCTATCTGCGCCCCTGGAGTGGATTGTAACATGAAKGTATGTGGTTCTTATGTGCGTTCACTGTGAGAAAGCTTCTGTGCTGTTAAAGAGAGAAAAAAAATAAAATCTACCTGTTGTGATCAGTACAATAATGATGGCTGAAAAAGTCTGTGAAGTAAATGAAGCTGCAAAGATATGCTGCTCTGAATCTATAACACACTAGCTTTAGAAAAACATAAACCTCAGGAGAATGTGAGTAAAAGTCATCCTTGTTAATCAAACTTTTRATGTCCTTTTATTTAGGCAACTATGTCAACTGTCTTTTTTTTTAAGGAGTCTCTTCAATCACAATAAAATGATGTGATTTCACCTGTTTTGTGTTTATCAACTCATCATARTTTTTCCAAATATCCAGTAGACAGTCATAGCTACACAAATAAATTCAATTCAAATTCAAAAATACTTTATTGATCCCAGAGGGAAATTAGGTGTTGTTGTAACTCATTTTACTAAAAACTTATTGTAGATGCTGAAAACTTTAAAATGTTTCTTGAAAGAATACGTTTTAAACAACCTTCTACTGTATGAGCTCAGTGCATCKTAAATGACTCGAGTACCACCACACCAYGYTTTAGCTCAATATTTGTCTATTTTGATCCCAGTGTTGTGTTGGCAGATGTTGAATTGACTCCAAAGGTTAATCAGTTGTAGACTAGATGTACATCCAGGAACTGCTTTCTGAGAGTTTCATCAAGGTCTTATCCTCTGATTCATGAACTATTTCGCTAACAGAGTTGATGCTAACATCAAAAGTTTTAAGGAAGTTCATGCAAAGAGGAGTGTTGGCGCATGAATTAGCCTYGGCTACAACCATACCAAATTTGAGCTAATATTCATAAAATACCTGAGTTATATAACTATTTCTATSCATTTTTGCACAGATAAAAACATTTGCGCCCTTTCATATTTGGCAGTCGGCGATAAAAGGTGGCATTCCAACCCTTAAATACTGTTTTTAAAAGACTTTGTATATGTAGATACTTTATATTTTGTCATATTTAGAAACACAATAAACTCAAATCCCCCCTTTGTGTTTTTCTCTTGATTTTTAAAAGAAATGAGTAGAAGATGAGCAACAAACTACTCAGGCTGTATGTTTATCCAGACCTACCTGTAGTAAAAACGTTGAGGTTGTTTCAAAGCTGGGCAACTTACATTGTTGTCATCAAATGTGCATCAGACCAAACATGGAAAACAGCAGCAATCCTATCAAACATTTTTTTTTACTGTTCCAGAGTTCCAGCAAATATTGTTAAGGCTGCAAAACTAGCGAGAATTGACAAGGAYGCATCCAAATAAATAAGAATAAGCTTCAGTTTGCATAAATGAATTGTAAATGACAACAGAATATATTTCATAAGAGGACAATAATCTGAAATTAACAACAAAATCCATGCTGGATAGCCTCAAAAGGAGGTAAACTCACTGGTTTCATGTTTTTATAGGAATATTTAACAGTATAGAAAATCTGTCCATAAGCTTCAGTTTGTGCAATACAATCAAGAATCTGTAAAAGCAAGATGTGTGCATTTTCTCATCCTGTTCTGTTGTTCAGATTTGGAAAAAAAAAATCACTGTAGTTAATGTTTTTCAAGTAAGTCCAAACACCTGCGGAGCCATAATTTGGATGCATGAAAGGCCTCAGTGGGTTTGGGATAGCTGAGTGATGCGTGACAAGAAGATGCCCCCTCTGGTCGAGAAATCTGACTCAGATCTTCTTCCATCCAAAGCAGCAAAGCCTAACAGAGAGAAATAACTTATAAAAATAACCACATGTATTAAATTTAAGAATTTGGCTTCAGATGTTAATCACAAATCCATCTCCAGCATCAATATTTTTCTGACAGACACAAACACCTTTTGCCTTTTGGTAGTGGGTGATAATTACAGCAAATCGCAAAGAGACGTCAAAAATTACAGGGATAAAAAAACTAATAGAAGAAGGGTAAATATAGGTTTTCAATAAAACACTATTATTACCTTGTATCTTTCAGCAATTTGAAATCCCACTGAGACATGCAGTTTGTGAAGGCAGATAGGACAGAAATCCAACGGCCTCCGATCAGACTCTTCAAGGTGGTTAGAGCCCTGCATGATACAGTTCATCCACTGGCAGTGCTTGATTCCAAACATGTGACCAATCTCATGGGTCATGGTCTGCAAACATATATATGTTATATGTATTTAAACAAAACACAGGAGTTAAATTCAGCAGAAGCTAGTCTTTAAATTGGCAGCAGTGATAAAAGTGGAAATATTACTGCTCAAAGTTTCAAAGCACTCATAAACACTAGTGTTGATTTTAATTGTTTTATTTGCCTTGCAGGATCGAAGCAGCAGAGTGCTGGTGATGGGCGGAGTGTAGTATCCTTCAAACACAGAGTAAGCTCCTGGTTTCGCCTCGATCTGCTTCTTCAGCCTCCCGGCATAGCTTCTGGTGTAGAAGTTGTCATCATACCTGGCAAAGCTGAAAATTCCCATTCCTGCAAACATGAAACAGTCATGAAGAAGGACTACATTTGGACTGGTTTCTGATTGTTTCAGCACCACCTAGTGGCTGCTTAGTTAACTTATGACGCAAAATGTGTGATTTAATTCTGCAAACTATTCTCCTAATTTAGTCCCTGAGTTATTTTTTACACACCCACTGACAAAAAGAGTTGAGCATCCAAAAAGAATAGTACAGTTTAATGGTGAATCTGTTTGATGTAAACAATTTGATTTGCAAGGAGCTGGTACAATCAGAACAAGCCTCGAGGATACATGGGGTGGCATCGCTAGTGGAAGTGTTATCAGGCAGTTGCCAGAGCATTTAGCCGTCMTTAAAAACAGTGGCTAGATGCATTAGACAGCATTAACAGATTTTCCTGGTGCTGCAAAAATATCTTTATATTCTGTTTGTGTCTTAATTTTCAGCCCGTACAGTTTTCTGTATTTTCTATGATGTTTTCTGAGCTATTACATCAAATTATCTGTGATGGAATTGCCAAATTAGGTTTGGACTTACCAGCTACAAGAATTTGGATTTGATTTATGCAGACTGTAATGAAAACTACRTCAAAGAAAGGAAAATGCAGCAAAACAAAGTCTGAGAAAAGGGTGAGGTCARTGAAAGGTGATTCTAAGAGAGAAATGTAACAAATATTTCATTTTTCTGAATGGGAACACGACATAAAGCAACACTGTTAAAGCGATTCACACAAGTAAATGAGAACAGACTGTAAGTCACCAATGGCAGTTGTTTGTGGGATTCTAAGGGACTAATGGTCCATCCAAACATACAATATCTGCTTTCATTGTCGCAGTTCATTCACAACAATGAACCGCCCCTTCTTGGCACAACTGCTGTGCGTCCAAACAGCGTGGACAGTTATGAGKAGCAACTGTCCGAGGCAATCAGAAAGTGCATTCATCTATGACTTTTCCAGACAAACTTATAAAGATTGTCAAACAGCCCAAAACTCTTGGATGGAGATAGCACAGACTGGACAGCGCACAGAGGAATACATTTGCTGAAAAGTGTGGCACTTTCATACATGACAGATTTGTGGCCGAAATGACAGTGGATATCAAAGTGGAGACATTTTTTTTTCTTTCCAGAGTGTAGACTCCAGCATGAAGAAAAACAATGCTGTAAAGTGTACAGCAGAGGGAGGGGTTTCCTTGGCACGCTGTGTCATGTTCCTCATGGGCTATGAAAGGTGTGTGCAAAAACAAACGTTGATCAACCACAAGATTGTGCGTCAGATGGAGCATGCTGTTTGTTAATGAGACCTTGTGTCCGCATGTCTAATTCCTCCAGAGACAGCACCCTGGTAGTCTTTCAACAAGACAAAAATCGTCCACACATGACAATGTGTGGCCAGTCAGGTTAGGTCTGCCATTATTTCCCCAATCGAATATGTGTGATCAGGTGTAATGTCAACCCTGACCCGGGGACCATTCTGCTGAATCTTGTGGGCCAGTTGTAACAGCTGTGAACTGGTTTGTGGCAGAAGTGAACACTTGTATGACTTTGTTCCACAATGAATCACCACTTGTACCCAGGCCTGGGGGGGGGGGGGGTGCCATTTACTGACATGGGACCAGCAGTGTGCCTATACTGCCAACTCTGTTATTCATTTGATCTGATCTTGTGATCATTAGAACACACACACAGGATCTTTCATTCCATTTACACAACTCTGCAACTAGCCATTTTTTGTCAGTGAGTGTAAACTGTATACTKWCTGTAATAGAAATAATACTTTTATGTTTAAGCTGGTGATTCATGACATCCTTTAATGACCTAGATTTTCCTCACATGCTGTTCATCTGCAGACAGAATGATTAAAGTCAGAACAAGGTCTGCTAACAACAATAATCATTCTTAGATATCACTTGTGTTTATCTTTGTGTTTTCCATTGACCTTGTATCAAATCTTGCTAAGATGACAGAATGGTGTAATGAGGCCTCTCGAGACACAGTGTGCAACAGAGTTAGACAGTGAGCAGTGTGGAGAGACTGACAGAGAGAAGCAGAGGCACAGAGACAGGGCAGGTTCTCTGTGTTTCCTGTTGTTGCAATAAAACTCAGCTGATCATCYCACGGAGTAYYTTCATTCTGGACCAACGTATTTCTCTCTCTGTTGTTAAATAAATATTACCATAACACTTACTTTTTCACATTCCAAAGTTTAAGCTCTGATATATTTTATAAAGATTATTTTAGTCCTGTCTGTCAAACCTTACCCATACTGAGAGAAGCCTGTCCAAAGACAAAATTCCAGGAGTCTTTGGGGTAGAGGTCAATCATTGTGATTCCAACAATGCAGAAAGCATCTTTGGGTTTTCTCTTCTCTAGAAATCGCAACAGGTCACCTTAAATTCAAAAATGAAGCAAGAGGATTTAACTTTTACTATTAATGTCACAGCATCTAAAACAGGTGCTTTACAATGAAGGTAAGAATAAAAGATAAAAATATACAGTTTCATGATTTACCTGTAAGAATTTGAAGATTGTGTGAGTTGCTGTTTACCCTGAAAGAGCATCCTGTTTCAGCCACAGTAACTGCTGGTAGCAAATTGACAGAAAGCCCATAAAAGAAGGCCTGGCAGTAATCTCTGAGCCACTCAACATACTGGTCAGTTTGGACTCCCACTTCTCCAAATGAACCTAAAAAAACAAAAACAAATTGTACTTAAAGGGGATTTATCATGTTGTTTGTGGATTTTTTTTAGATAATAAATTAATTTTGTTGTGCACTTGTCCCTGGGAGTGCAGAAAAGTTGAATTTAGTCTCTCTGGGTAGATATTTTTATATTCTGTTTGAATTATATTTTTCAACCCATTCAGTTTTCTCTATTTTCTATGACGTTTTCTGAACTATCACATCACAGTTTTTGTGACAAAATTGCTACATAAAGTCTGGACTTACCAACTACAAATTGATCGTCTTCATTCTCCTCTGGCTCTGRGTCAGACTCTGGCTCCAACATGTAAGACGGGATGGACAAGTCTTCCCTTGTTGACATCTTTTAATTAATTTGTAAATAAAATATTTCTTCACCGCTATATAGTCGCAAACCCCTCTATCAAACTGGAATAGACCGGTCTGTAAGTGGAGGGGGRCGGGGTGTGGATTTAAAGAGACCGCCTCAAAACGAGTTGATCTGAGAGTAATAAGTATTAAGTGTATACCTCAGAGGAGGGGTGAAAGAGAGGCTTTAATGTGAAAAAGAAGGATTTAAAAGCATGATTTGTTTCATTTAAGGCACAGCAACCATTTGAAACAAAGTATTTCGCAGTCTTTAAGCCATTGCAGAACAAAATGATCTTTTATTCCAAAGTTTATATA